CCCCTCCCCCTCCCCCCTTCTCGTTCGCTTTTCCTTTTTCTATATATACCCATGCGCGGTTTTAATTAAATCGTTCCAGAACGATCCATCGCTACATTATCTACTCGGTTTTCCGCTCGGCCCCTCTGCATCGTTCGTCGTCGAAATTACTTGACATTTTGCACGCAAGCTTGCGCGTCTCGTGGTCTCCACGCGACGTCAAGCTTTCATCGATTCCCCTTGCAATTAGTTTCTTTCAACGAACCAACGCTAAATACACACCGAGCGTGTAGTTCAGAGTCGGTTCTGCATTTCTGAAACTCGTATCTTGTCACGTTGCTATCTTCGAACGTACAATTTGTCAACATTATCCGAACGAACGCGAACGAAATTATTTTTCGCGCTGTGGTTCGCTCCGAATCGGTCGTTCCATCACCAACACATATATAATACATTAAGGTTGAAGCAACTACTTTTGAGGAGTAGAGTTGATAGCTATTCGAGAGTTGAAATTGAGAAGCTTAGGTCTGCTTAAACTGTTTGCTCGTCAGCGAATACGAAGAGAGATTATTCGAATGTCGACAGACACATGGTCTCGATAAAATGACACGAAAATGCTGCCTGCGAATAGCGTTTTTGCGCGTTGGCGAAAAAAAAGGACGAAGGATGCGAGTCACATGAGACACTGCCCTGCTTTTCGATGATCGAAGGAAAGGCAATCCCGCGTTTAACGTTCACCGCAAACCGCGTGAAATTCAACGCGATCCTCTCGATGTTCAGCAAGGTAGCGAGAGGTTTCTATCAACGAAAAGTCAACCAATTAAAGCCGGACAATTTCTGCAGCATTCCGTGCTCCGTAATTGCATCAGTTTTTAAACATGTTCTTTTTTTTTTTTTTTTAATACGAAGAACGAAATCTTTTTACGTAACTTCCGCAAGTGCTACGCAGACGGTGGGAATATGCATAATGGAATCTACATAACGAGTTCATGATGCGTCAACATTCTTTCGCTGATCGCGCGAATTGATTCGACCTATTCAAACTTGAAACATTTCCGTCGTAACCGACGGAGAGGATTCGTTAATTGTAACTGGTTGTTATTAATTCTTGGGCGTAGATCGACTTCGAAAACACTGAATTGTCACTAGATTCGTAACAATAGAGAAAGAGTCGTGTTTAACTGTGGGAAAAACTCCCAATTCGTCGATATGACTTTAGAATTTTTTTATAATTGCTACAAAGATACCAGGTTGACTTTTTGTCAAAATTAGTATTGTTCTCTGTTCACGCAAATTGCATAGATTTATTTATTTTAATTGTTATCGCTTAAATTGCAATGTAGAATATTTTGATATGTATTAGAGGCCGATAATTTTAGTATTAAATGCTTTTGATAACAGGCGGAAACACGCTCGTGTCTTATCAGTTGCAAGTTCTTTCACATGATAACGCTTTGTTATAAGAAGAAGCGAAACTAATATATAATTTGTGCGAAACACGGAGAATGCTGATCAACGAATTAACAACGAT